AGTAACCGTATTTCGACTTATTGATGAGGTAAAATCAATTAAATACTATAGCGACTAAATCTTGGTAATTATATTTCTATTTCATTTTTTATGATATAGGCACATGATGCAAATATCAATGAAAGAGAAATATTACAAGAGAACATATCTGATGAAAACTCGATTTCCAATATCAATGGTGATATTGAATTTGATAATGTTAGTTTTTCTTATCCATCTAGAGAAAATGCAACAGCCTTGAATAATCTTAAATTAGTTGCTCGTGCTAATCAAACAACTGCTCTTGTAGGTTCAAGTGGTTGTGGTAAATCTTTTTTTTCTAAAACAAACATAACATTTTAATATTGAAATTTATTGTGATAGGAAAAAGTACATGTGTATCACTTCTTCTTCGCTATTATGAACCTTCTTCAGGTAGAATTATGATTGATGGTCAATCAATTACAGATTATAAAATCAAACAATTTCGTCAAAATATTGGAGTTGTTAGTCAAGAACCTGTAAATTTCTTTCGTTTTTCTTTTGGTCTCTGTTGAATTTGTATATTGAAATAGATTTTATTTGGAATAAGTATTTATGAAAATATTCGTTTTGGTAAATTGAATGCAACACGTGCAGAGATTGAAAATGCAGCAGAACACGCTAATGCACATAAATTCATTATGAAATTACCAAATGTTTGTTTTTTAATTATTTCTTTTTATCTATATGTATTATTATTTATATTTATAGAAATATGAAACACTTGTTGGGGAACGTGGTATACAATTGAGTGGTGGTGAAAAACAACGTATTGCATTAGCTCGTGCACTTGTCAAACAACCCAACATTCTTTTGTTAGATGAAGCAACAAGTGCACTTGATAATGTTAGTGAAAAAATTGTTCAAGAAGCACTTGATCGAGCATGCAAAAGTAAGAATTACTTAATTACTGTTGATTATATTATTATTATTATTAATATATAGATCGTACAACTATAGTTATTGCTCATCGTTTAACTACAATTCAAAATGCTGATTATATTTATGTATTAGATAAAGGAAGTGTGATTGAAGAAGGTACACATGAAACATTATTGGCAAAAGAAGGAGGTAAATATCAAACAATGATTAAAATGCAACAATCTGAAAAAACGATTGGTACACATGATGGCTTAATGAATATGGCAAAAGCAGTAGCTGAAGATGAAGAACAACTATGTATGTTACTATTCTAATATTAATAATTATTAAATTTTATAAACATCATTCTGTTTTGTTATTTGGAATAGTGGAACGTGTTCGTCAATTGAGTGAGAGCGAAACAATTGATACAAATCGGGTAAAAATAAATATCTAATAACTTTAAAAAAATTATTATTAATGTATAAATTTTTAGAGAGCTTCGACAGCAGCAAGAGAAAAATCTGTCCTTCTAAGACTTATGAAGATGAATAGTCCTGAATGGATGTTTATCTTGATTGGTTGTTTAGCATGCTTACTTGGTGGATTACGTGGACCAGTGTTCTCGATTCTATTCGCAACAATAATCAACGTGAGTGATATTATTTATATAAATATCCTAAGAAAAGATAAAATATGTGTCTTTTTCTGTCGAATGTTTCTTTTATTTAGGAATTTAATGATTGTAAATACGATGATGTACGTCGTCGAGTGATGATTACAAGTGGTTTATTTCTTATTACTGGCGCTGTTTTTCTGGTTCTTCATTTTTTTCAAGTAAC